CATTAAATTCTACGTGAAAAGGTGCTTTGGAAATGTTTTCATAAAAATACAAAATTTTCCATAGCAAAAAAGTTATAGCGATTTGTTAAATATGCATATTTTTGAAAAACACCCCGTAACTCCGAAACGGTAACAGATATCGATATGTGGTTTTCACCATTATGTTTTTGACAAAAATTTAGCTCCAGACACCGATATTAGTTTTTGTCTATCTCCTATAGAAAAGGGTGTTTCCATTTAAAAGCGTCGAATTTGACCCACCCTGTACATATATTAAATAGAGATATTATTTCCATCCCCTTGTATTGACACGACGGTACGCCACTGGTAGTTATAATAAAGATCACTGGTCGCTATGTAAAAATTTATAGAATACATAAGGATGACGACTAAGGATGAACATCTCTCATCCTATAGAAAAACTAATAGTAAGTATATAATTTTAAAAAATATATTATACAATGGCGATGTACGAAAATTACTAAATAATTATTCTGATTCTAAATTCTCAAAATTGGTACTGGACTTATTTGGATCTACGAAAGGAATGTATGTTTCACACTGCTACTAAGCAAAATTTTTAGAAATAATCTAAAAATATATTCCCATACACCCACCATCCCAGTTGTATAAAATATAACTATCTACTAAACTTAAAAATAATATTATACAAAAAAGTATTGGAATGAAAATCTCAAGTAGTATAAGCACAATAAGGAGCTGTTTTCAAGCATCTTGTCACCTTGTTGCGAATATTTATAGTTATTAATAATACAAGTTCGATACGAATATCATAATGAAACGCGTGTAACGTTAAGTCACAAGGCGTTAGCCAAGTGGCTTAGTTTCACATGTTTCATTAAAAAGTTCGTATCGAATGTGTATCATTCAAAATTTAATCTACGACGCGACACGAGGGACGATCCAAAGAGATTTGATTTAATTTAAAATATCAGAGATATCCTCATAAAATTTAAAATTCAAAATTATCAGGTGCCCATATTAGTCGACGTCGGTCGTGGTAACCGTGCTTGTTGATTGTGTCCATTTTGACTTTGACAACTCAATTATTGATATTCAATTTTATGTTAAACGTTCAGTTTTAGCAAAAAGCAAAAAATAATATTAATATGGGTGATTCTGATTCTGAAAGTGTCCCTTCGGATATTGTAGGTATTGCGGAAAACGTTGTCGATTCCCTATTTCCCGAAAAAGGCACAAAGACAAGACAAACGTACGAGCAAGCCTATGTAAAACTTGAAAATTGGTGTAAAGGGAAAGGAATCAAGAATAGTAGTAACGAAAAGGTTCTCCTGGCATTCCTAAGTCTTCCAAATCCACAACAATACACTGGACATTGTTTCCGTAGATCGTCTGCGTCGTTTGCTTGCAGATTCAGGAGTGGATTTATTAACTGTTAAAAGATGGTGGTTGGCACTCTAACACAGTGGCAGAGAGCTATACATATAGAAGATTCCAAAGAAAATAAGAAAAAAGTGTCATGTAATATTTTGGGTAACGTTTCTGGCAATGATGGATCCTCAACAAGTTCAAGCACTCAGGAAATAAATTAACTTTTTAAAAATTCAACTCACCTGTCATTGTCTGGAATTAATTTAACAAATTGCACTGATATTATAATTAATGTTTACAATAAATAAACGTATTTAGGTGCCTTTTTTTGCTTGTTTCTTATTTTAAAATTTTCCTGTTATTATGAATTCATAATCATCATAATAGCACTAGTGCTATTATGAAAGCCATAATGACATCCAAATGACAATGTTAAATGTGTCATAATTTGACATTGTCGTAGACTAAGATAATTAAATATTTTTTAACTTAATATCTTAATAGAGTTTTCAATTTGTATATGTTGCAGGCGCATAGACTAATCCGGATTTTTGCAGAAAAGCTAGGCATATAATAAAACGCCGGCTTTTTAAACAAAAGGAGGAATTTTACAAAAAGCCTATCTATTTTCAGTCACTTTGCAAAAAGCATAATCAGAATTAGGCATATTAAACAATGACGATATTTCCTGTACACTTCTGCAAAAAGACTGCCTGTTTTCAGTCCTTTTACAAAATGCCAAATCGAGGCCAGGCAGATTAAAAAATGATCAAAATTTACTCATCTAGGAGCATAAGCACATATTGAATAATTTACGCTTTAATAAAAATACCCCAATTTCGTCTAAACAAAATGTTATTTTGTTTAGACGAAAACAACTTGAACCTTGAATCCTATTTCTTAAATTATAATTTTAAATACTCTCGTTTAATTATTATACTCTCCAATTTGATTCTGTGTACAGGGCTTCTTTGTGGAACTATGCTTTCTTTTTTGGAACTTTTATTCTTTTAGAAATAAAATGAATTTAGATCTTTATAATAATAGTCCTTAACCATACTCCATTTAACAAAATTATCACTTTTTGTGCCATTATTTTCTAATTTTGAAAGAGAAGTTCAAGAAATGTCGTTGGATAAATTTAAGTTAGTTTTTCTAATCCCGCGTAAAATGTTTTCTGCAATCTAACTAGTCTTCATTAGGCATTTTGCAAAGCGACTGAAATTCACAAGGATGAAACCTTAGGTTCTCAGTGATGCTCTTATGTGCTATGAATACCGGCGTGTTTGTGGGGTTCGCCCTGTGATGCCTTGACAGATACCAGATGAGAAAGGTAACTAAAAGAAATAAATGAACTTTACTTATTTTTACATGTCTGATTTTTACATAATGTTATTAAGACAGAGCTATTATAAAGTTATATTTAATCAGTCAGACAGATTGTAATGACCAAACATCCTCTAAACACAAAAATTATTCAGTCGTGACTATGAGCGCAGGAGAACTGTGCGTCTCCGAATAAAGTATTTAAATATTTCAAAATTACTTACTGCTTTCGATTTAATGTTTTTTCATCTCCATTTAAATAAGATTGGTTGTAAAAGTGAAAAAAATACATACTTATGGAGCCGATCGGCCGACTATTTGATTGCAATTGAGCACGGCTCCGTAAGAATTACATTGGTTACAAATCTACAACTAAATAGTCGTCCGACTAAGAATTGCATGTCATCCCAAGGCTTTATTTTCCTTATTTTCCAACATTTCCTTTTACACTATCCAAACTATTTAAAAACGTAAGTCAGAGAATTCAAGATGTACGGTTTTTCAAATTAATATTTTTTTTAGAAAATTCCACACCTGTAATTTTTAACCAATCAAAACGTGTTTTTTTGATAAATCACCATGGCAACGGATAAATTTTAGTGAAAATTTCACACCTCTACTTTTCAACCAATAACATGCTTTAATGTTGACTAGTTACCATGGGAGCAACTTGAAAAATTTCCGGAAATTTTTCGGCGCCACGAAACTTTAGTGGAAATTTTTGACAGTTGAAAAGGTAAACATAAGATCTACAATCATAATGTGAATGAACTACAATGTCTATATATTGAAATATTACCCATTTGAGTTTTCGCATTTGATGTAACTAATTAAAATATAATAATATTTGTTAATATTATTAACAAATTGAAATTATTTTAAAATGTCATGTTGGATTAATATTTTTTTTCAAATTTAGGTGTGAAATTTTCTTACCGAATACCACGCAAGCTTAAATTATTCCTGGAAATTTTCTTTCGGGCACGAATATTTTAGGAAAATTATCCCTCGTCTTCGACTCGGGATAATTTTCAAAATATTCGTGCCTTCAAAAAAATTTCCGAAAATAATTTAAGCTCTTGTGATATTATAAGTGAAAATTTTTTCCTTGTGGGCACCCAACAGCGAATTATACTGGAAATTTTTTGACGTTTATAATGACAGAATATATTTTTGAGAGTCTGGTTTTTATTTGTTTACATGATAATTTTGATACATTTCAATTACAAAGCTGAGATGAAAGTTTGTAAACTGCTTCCATACGCTTGACTTCGATTTCCTAGTATTCGCGGGTGTCAACTGCTTAATCTCCTGGCGAATATTTTCTTTGCTTTCATGACCGAAGCGAAACATTTTTTTTAAGCCGTGCCGCTTGACAGCTTCAAAACTGAAATAGTTTTTAAGTTTGGGTGTCTCTTAGTTGTCATAGTAACTAAATAATCAATTCGACCAAAAAGCGAAAAACACATTTTAATTATTTGATTTTCAAACACAATTTGGTGTGGAATTTTCTTACCGAATACCACACGAGGTCAAATTAAATCCGGACATTTTTTCTCGCTCATGAATATTTTTAGAAAATTATCCCTCGTCTTCGACTCGGGATAATTTTCAAAATATTCATGGGCTCGAAAAAATTTCCGGAAATAATTTGACCTCTAGTGGTATTACTAGTGAAAATATGCGATAATTGTTTTGAGTAGTTTATAGTCAATAAATTAATTTACTTTAATAATTATTAATTATTACTTTAATAAAAAAGCTCATCTTATTTAGATAGAGAGGCAAAAATGTTCAATCGAAAGCAGTAAGTATTTTTAAAATATTTAAATACTTTACTGGGAAGCGCATAATTCTCCCGCGCTCATAGTCACGGCTAAATAATTTTTTTGTTTAGAGGATGGGTCATTACAATCTGTCTGACTGATTAAATATAACTTTATAATAGGTATCTTAATAACATATGTAAAAATAATACATGTAAAAATAAGTAAATTTTATTTATTTCTTTTACTTACCTTTCTTCAAGGTGTCACAGGGCAAACCCCACAAACACGCCAGTTTTAAAAGCACATGAAAGCACACTACTGAGAGCCTAAGGTTTCATCCTTGTGAAAATAAGTTATGTCTGATCGCTCTATGATCTTGCACTATGAGAAAAAACTGCAGATTCTATGATGAAAATTAAAAAACGCTTATTATTTATTATAGTGTTATAGGAAGAGCTGATGTTTTTGAGAAACACCGAGTATACAAGGTGTCGCTATATGATTATTTTTTTATGTAACCATATTGAGAGAACGTAATCGATCAATATTTACCTCAAACTTTGGCAGGTATCGAGGAGATCCTTTAACGTGTTTTTTTCTCACAAAAAACAGCAAATCATCACAGTCAATTGTTGAATCGTTTTGAAACAGAAAATGTCTCACAAACAAGTCTGTCCAATAAGTTGTGCCTTGCAGCATGACAAATCCAGAATCTACAAAATCAAGATATGTTTATTCAAATCTTTGGCTCAACTTTCGTTTAGCTGAAATCTGTTATATAAAAAATAACTTTATATATGCGTTCTAGAAGGCGTTAGAGAGAGGATTTGGGTTGCTTTGGTTAGCTTTTCTTTGTGGAGGGTGTTAAGCTGTGGTTTTTATATTTTAATAATTAACTGTGATTTTGTAAAAATATTATTAGATTGGTTAACATTTTAGACACTTTTAAATTATTTTTTTTGGTTCAAAAGTGATAAAAAGATAATTTTTTTTGTATTTATGCTTACAAAAATGGAAAATGAAAATCAAGCATGTCCGCAGGAAATTTTTTATTTTCCTGAGTTTGTAAACGCTTCTAAAAGGCAAAAATATATTTATTTTTTATATAACTGGGTTCAGCTATACTAAAGTCTATTAAATTTCCTCAGAAAAAATCAAGCATTTCCGCAGGAAATTTTTTATTTTCCTGAGTTTGTAAACGCTTCTAAAAGGCAAAAATATATTTATTTTTTATATAACTGGTTTCAGCTATTCTAAAGTCTATTAAATTTCCTCAGAAAATAGATACAGTTTATTTCCGCAGGAAAATTTTTATTTTCCTCAATTCGTGAATGCTTCTAAAAGGCAAAAATATATTTATTTTTTGTATAACTGATTTCAGCTATTCTAAAGTCTAATAAATTTCCTTAGAAGATGAAAACAGCTTATTTCCGCAGGAAAAATTTTGTGTTTATATGTTCAGAAAAATATTAAAAATAAAACGCAAAATGTATTTTTTTATAGCAGATTTCAGTTATTCTAAGTGCGAAATTTGGAAATAACGCATTTCCGCAGGAAAATTTCTGTTTTCCGTGGTTCACAGTAGCTTTTTAAAGACAATTTTTTTTTTCTAGTAACTGATTTCAGCTAAACGAAATTTGACCCAAATCTTTTAATATTGCAAGGGATTATATTTACCATCTTTGAGAAGTTGTCGCATTTCTTTAGTCCTTTGAAAATTGATTTCTTCTAAAAGTTGTTCTAATGCTGTTGGTGATTTTAGGGAAGAACTGTTAGCAAATGCCATATTTTGTCAGAGCATTAGCAGTTTTTTACACTAACATACAAAAAAAATTAATTTGTTTGTGAAATATGTTGTCTCTAATCATATTTTCAAACGAAAACTCATTTTTTCTTTGTTGTTATATCGACATTTGATAAAAGTGTGACTAATATGCAAAGGAAATGCATACCTAAGGGGTGAAAATGTGTAGTCGGTCAATATTACAGTCTAGGAATTACAGCGCATACTCAAAAGCGCTCTCTCTGCAAATAGGGCTGTTCGAATAACGCCACCTATCTTTCCGATATGAAAACTGTTTTAGAGAAAACAATGAGAATACAAACATCGATTTAAGAAACTACCAGAGTGGCGTATTGACAACTTCGTATGGAAATGACAAAAAAAAATTATTAGATATAATACTCTGGCAAACGTTAAATAAATGCATGTGATAATATACCGTATGATCGAAAAACAATCAGCGATGGCTATGAAATGAAAGACGATAAAATGGTCTTTTATCGTTGTGTATAAAACAAGATTTTTTTCATAGCGAGTTACGTTTTAAAAAATATTCAGAAATTATTATTTCAAGGAATTTATTACGGGTAGAAAAAATATTGTGCTGGGTTGGCGTTGGTTTCTATGTAATTTGACAAATAAATAAAGCTGTCTCTTTAGTTGTCAGTTTTGAGTCAATATTTTTTAATTCTTTTTCGTGTCGATTGCTGATTGAATTGGAGCCAGAAATGGCTCAAAACGAAATAAGTAAATTACCAACAGGTATTGAGGCTGAGGCGACAAACGCCATATCCAAACTACTTCCATTTAAATCCCGAATAACTTGAATGAAAAGGAATACAAAAATTTTGAAAAATGGAAGCAGTTATAAAACGTGCGAGAAGAAATAAAGTTTTTAACCTATCCTCGCTGTTAAAGTATCATTTAATCTACCCTTGCGGCTAAAGTACTATTTTATCTACTATTTTTGATAGATACAAGGCAATTTTAACAGTTGCTATGGAAAAAAATTATAAGGGGAATATCATCGATGTTCATTTCCAAGCCAGCTGGACGCCTTTTTTTTCGATCATACGGTATTTCTGTAGCGTTTGATAATTCTTTGACTTTTTAATAGTTATTTTCAAAGTTTTAGGCTGTAGAATTTTACAGAAAAAAGTTCCTCAGGGGAACGTTTTGGGGTAGTTTAATTTCTTCTCTTCAGAAAAAAATCCTCTAGGTATTTCGGCATTTGCACTGTAAGAAAATCTACAAAATAAAATAGTTAATTTTTGTTCAACAGTGCTGCGTTAATCCAACGGAGACCAACTTGTCAGCAGTGATTTACTAATAAATAAATTTGCCCATTGGACAAAAAAATGCTTAATGTTTCGGGAAGTATATCTCTTCCCGTCGTCTGAAGCAAAAAAAAACACAACGAACAAAGAAAAAAAATATATATTGTTATGTTTATGTATTGTACCTAATTGTTATAATAATTATCTTTGTTGATTAGGAAATAATATTTTGTTAGATAGGAATACTATTTTAAACAGGTTGGCCGTGTCAGATTGTATTATTCATAATGCATGGTTTTTATGACAGACGCGATAGAATGTTACGGAAGATAAGATATTGTAAGTGAGGCGCCCGGGGATAGTCGGCACCGGACGCTCGCACGAAGCACATGCTTGTGATGTAATCCTGAGTACTACGATGAAATAAAGGAGTTATGAAGGAAATCCAGTGTTTCATTAAATAAATACAAGTTGTACTGTAATAATTCAGAAGTGGGATGGACAGTACAGTTCACTTTGTGTTTTTTTTTTGTTGAAGTCTCTTTTGTCAAACAAAAAAGAGTGAAGTCGGGATAGACCTACTAGAAGTACCACAGGAGTTTAAAAGGTGCCAATATGCCATGATGTGTCTGAATCCATAAGTTAAGTTGCTGGAAAAGAACATAAAAACCATGCATTATGAATAATACAATCTGACACGGCCAACCTGTTTAAAATAGTATTCCTATTTAACAAAATATTATTTCCTAATCAACAAGGATAATTATTATAACAATTAGGTACAATACATAAACATAACAATATATAAACGGGATTTGGTTTAAATATTTAATACTCATTTCCAACTACAGCCTATTGCTGTCTTCCCGTTACCCTACGCCACACATCTCGATTTAGAGCGTCATCAGCTTCTAGGTTACGAGCTTCCATTGCTTCCGTAACCGTTCCGTTCAGGGCCGGATTTCCGCCTAGGCCTGCAAGGCCCGTGCCTAGGGGCCCCATGCAATGAGTGACGCGCAACTTTCATATATAAGCTCCAAATTGGCTATGACATGGGGGGCCCCAAATGTCAAGTGCCTAGGGGCCCTGTATGTCTAAGTCCGTCACTGGTTCCGTTCCAGGATTTTCTAGGTCTACCTCTCTTTCTTCTGCCCTGGGGCCTGGGGAGCCCATTGAAAAGCTTTTTTTGGCCACCTGTTCTCTGGCATACGCAGAACATATCCAAACTACTTTATTTTTTTCGATTCGATCTAGTACTGTTTCCTCCGATGCATTCATGATACGCCTGACCTCGATGTTTGTCTTTTTTTCCATCCTAGATATACCTGCGCTTCTTCTAAGGTAGTCCATTTCAACAACTTGGATTTTGCGCTTCGCGTCTGCAATCAGAGTCCATAGCTCTGAACCATAGCAAAGAACTGACTCCACCAATGTTCTTCCAAATCTCTTTTTAGTTGTTGCAGAGAAGTTTCGGTCCCACCAGAGGCTATTAAGACATCTAATAACTTGTTTGCTCTTCTGAATTCGGGTTTGTATTTCTTCTTTGCCCAAACCCTCGTTGTTGATAGTAGCACCCAGGTATTTAAATTTGTCTACTTATTGAATCTGGACGTTATCATTAATGAAGACTTCAAAACAAGCGTTGGTATTGACAGCTAAGTATTCCGTCTTCTTTAGACTAACCTGAAGTCCCCATTTGTTGTATTCTTGATAGAGCCTCTTAGTCATCAACTCTAGATCGTATGAGTCCTGCGCAATCACAAAGAAAAAACTATTTAAAATATCTAAATACTGTCTAAAAACTAATCACGAACAAAATAGTTTTTTTTCAACAAATACTTCTATAAAAACTGTTACCAAATGAGGTAAAATCAAAAAACCTCAAACTTTCTGTATAATATAATTATTTTTACTTATTTGTTTTTAATTTTTACTTATGTTATTAAAACCAAAAAACCGATAACCATACATTACTAACCCCTAGAGATGCCTTATACAGGGTAAGTCTTAAATAAGTGCAAATATTTTCAGGGCTGGTAGATCTCGATAAAAGAAACATATTTTCTCTTTACCATTTTTCAAGTAAGTCCAAAATATTTAATCTACTATCTTTGTTGCCATATTATCAAGAAATTATGGTTTTTAGCTCAAAAAATACAATTTTTTTTAAAAACTCATAGACGTGTTGCTGGGGACTCTATCTTTACATGATCTGGTTAGGGTTATTCCCACTTATAATTTTTTCCTTTAAATTTAAAACCGTCTATAAGATACACCATTTGAAATTTCTTAAATTTTCATAAACAGCAATTTCACCGAAAAAAAAAGTTATAAATAAACCGTTGTTGTTACACGTAATTTGTACTACAGACCAGGTTTATTTACATAGAAAAGCTCTGTATTTATCCGTTTGGAGTCTATCTCGCTCTTTACCAGTTTCTATAAAGAAAATATACATGGCTAATTAAAAGCGTAGGCCAGTGAAGTAGACTGAGGTAATTTTACAACAAAATTATATAAACCGGAGTTTCTAGCGAAAATAAACTTTTAGTTGAAAACGTCTGATCGAGCAGCCTACTTTGATCGCTCTTATCTTTCGATTAAACTGCTTAATATTATTATTTCTTTTCAGTTTGGGAAATCTATAGGCTTGGTGCATTCTCCGCCGGTGCTGCCACCGCTGGAGAATATCGTAAATAACTAATACATACAAATACACGGGTTTAAATGACGAGTAAACGAAAAAATTAGTATATAATTATTCTAAAAAAAAATAGATGAGTTCAACTATCGTAGCGAGCATAGTTTTATCACCGGTTTTGCTAGTGGGGCATCTATCATTGGAGAGCTATAACGAAACTTTTTAAAGGTACATAATTATAATTTTAGAAGATGTTCATAAAACATTTAGGTAATCACTAGTTGATTAAAAAAAAGTATCCATTAATATTGCAAATTATATTTTATCCTCTCATAGTATGTCTATTTAATTTTTTGTTTATGTTACCGATCAAATCGGTGTAAGAAATTATGAAGCTATAAAATGTTGTTTCGAGAGAGTTGAATATCCAGAAAAGTTGAGTTATTGAATGTTATTGCACCCAACAACGCTCTAATTACGCTCTCCTTTAACATTGCGCTTTAACATTTTTTGGGCAGTTTTATTAACATTTAAAATTGTCACAGCACAAGACGCCTAGTTCGAATTCTTTTTTACTTATTTTTTACTACCCGAAACAGCGTTACATCACACAAACCTCGTATTTGAGTGTTTTATAGTCTCAATAAGTACACTAGCAAAAAACTAAAATACTTAAATATTATCTCATGCCCTCGAAAAAAGTAACATTCTTCCATGCTTTGAGATAGATCTGGATATACAGCTACAGTGTTTGCAGTGGGAGAACTCGGGACAGGTCAAGAGTGCCATTGATAACAATATGGCCTTTCGGGAATTTGTTTCTAAGGAACTTCTAGGGTATGAGCTGATTTACACGGATGCCTCATTGGATCTGGTTTCTGGGAGATGCGGAATTGGGGTTTTTAATGCATCAAGAAAATATTCGTCGATTGGTATTGGAGTTATGAGGAACAAGTCAATCTGCTCGGCAGAAATGTTAGCTATTGAAAGGGCATTGGATGATCTGGGAGACGATTTTGAGGATATTTCTTGTAGAATAGGAAAAACAGCAGGAAGAATAAAAGAGCGAATTACTACTCTTATACAACGAGGAAAATAGATAAGACTAATTTGGATCCCTGGTCACTCTTATGTTGATGGTAATACGGAAGCAGATAGACTGGCATCCCTTGGAAGAAAGTCTAGGAACCTGGTGTATAATAAGATTCATTATTCGGAACTTTTTGGCATCATAAAGAAGGAAAGCAGGCGGGAATGGGCAAATTTATA